ACTAGAGAGACAGATGAATTATAAGGCATAAGGGAAACATTATTTTAACCTCTCTGGGCATTACTTCAAAAATGTTAAAAATCTTCAGAGCTTTCCAGTGTAGCATTTAAGGAGCAGGAAATTTGACTCTGTAGCAGTAAACATATTTCCTTTTAAAACTAACTATATACTGTTGTAGCCCAAGTCTATGCAGGAGCAAACTGAGACTCCTTTTGGAGAATACCTGTGAGAATTTTACTGGATTAGAGATTTGAGAATAAAAAGATTATTTTTAATGTGATACTGAAGAGGGTTTTGTAACTGAGACTTAGAAGATACCAGAACAAAGCCCACTTGCAAGCAAGTGTTCATAATACCGATATAATTAGTAGGAAGAGAAATGTCACAAGAAGTTTAGCAAAGTAAATGTCCAAACTACCAGCCAGGAACAAAAAGAACCACATTCAACTGTTTTGTAATCTAGTTTGCTCAAGCTCTGGCCTGCCTACGGAGATGGGAGTAACTTATGTATGAACAGATTATTAGGGAAAAGCTTGAAATGGTCAACTTCAAGGTATAGCAGATCATGTTGATCATATATTCCTCTGAGTCAACGCTGACCCAATGATAACATTTAGGCTTTGTCGTGGCGTGATCGCAACCTTCCGAGCACAGCACCCAGGGCAAATGGATGCGAAAATTCCCACCAGAGGGGAGAAATAATCACACTCCAGTTTGGGTTGACATCTGGTTGCAGACATCTCAATGTGGCATGGTCTGAGGCATGGTCTGATGAACACACTCCCTTTCCCAGGAGCTGATGGCTCACAGTTTTAGGCCAGAAGGGGACAGTGATATTCTCTGCTTCCCCTGGTGCGTGATGCATCCTCTCAGATCAGATTGCTCTGGGGACTGTGTTAAGTGTGTTGACTAAGTCGCTATTAATTATAACATGAGTTTACACATGTCTAGCTGACAAGTAAATACTTGCTTGTATGTACCTATTTAGGTGTCTGAATCTAGAGCTGAATCTCTCCCCCAAAATGTTTAGACAATTAAGGAAAGATGAGAGCTCCTAAGATTTTTCCTTCCCTGCTTTTTATGAAACACACTTGTGATTGCAGGCTGGTTGAAGACCCTGCTTTCAGTTCAGCCACTGAAATCAGTATCGGTGACATAGGTGCCTTGAAGCAGGCCAGACAGCATCTCTCAAAAGTTGTTACTCTGCTGTGTCCCCAGTGACACAGTGTCCACAAAGCCTTTGCTCACGTGGTAGCGGTGCCCTGGCTCCGGCAGAATCACCTCAGTTGTGCATGGCACCGTGGGGGTAACCGGCGGCATCACCACTCAGCAAGTTTATGGACTAGATCCTCTGCTGGCACAAAACCTGAGCAGCTCCCTTCATCCAACAGGAGCTGTGCTGAGGTTCGCATCACCTGAAAAAACAGTCCTGACGGTGTTCAAAAACTTCCCTAGCATTTTAAACAATAAATTCATTAGATTTTTGCATAATGATGTCCATTTTCAAGGAGGTGAGGCACGGTCTTCCATGTTTATGAGTTGATAACTCCTAATTTTAGGCCAGAAGGGGCATTAATATTCTGTGCTTCACCCTGGCATGTGATGCAGGTTATAGAGTAGTCATAAGTGATTCCCAGCAAAGACCCGAGAAATATTTCTACTTGTCCAGCCAGTGCCTGCAGCCAAGTAGCGAGAAGAAAACATTCTCAGAGTTACAGGCACAAACCGCAACTCCAGGGACCTGAGGTTGTTGTCTGCTGAATTTGGCAATGTGCCCTGCTCAGGTATTCTGCTGTTTTAATAAAAACCAGTAACATCAGTAGGTGCAGTAGATATTTCATAGCTGTATAAGGAACAACGGAAAGACAAGAGAGAATGGAAAGCAAATAACAGATGGTAAGGAGGTTGAAATGCTTTACGGTGCTTATTCCAGTCTTAAATGAAAAGGATAATAGTAACAGGATATTTAGTACAATCACAGCTAACAGAGCTAGGAAGCCTTCGTAAGGGAGAATCCAAAAGAAGAAGGCTGCTGATTGCCTAAATCACTTGAATATTCTTAAATCAGTGAAGCTAAATGAAATTCACCCTTGACTATAATGCTTAAAAGAGCTGGTGCGAAAAGCCGTTAGTTTATAAAAGCCTCTCCTGTCTTCTAGAGGCACTGCGATGGTACGTACTCTTCAAATCCCTTGGTGAAAAACACTGCAATTATATGTACCCTTAATGCCATCAGCAACGAGCCCAAGTCGTGACTGCACACGGTCATGAACACACACACACATATACACAGAGACAGCTTTTTCTAGCTGTTTGAGCAAAGGGAAGAGTAAGACTGAAAAGTGACATCGGTTTTGATATGTGACATTAACTTTCAAGCTGATGAAAGGGAGCAACATGTTCTAATTATTATTCCCTTTCAAAATAAGCCACGAGCTCAGACAAAAGAGGAGAGAAAGAGGGGGAAAAAAAATCCAGGAGAGAAACAGAATCACATTTTCTCACTTACCTAATTAAAGCAAGGTGGGCGAGCAAGAGGGAGAGCTCGCGGTGCTCAGGCAGCGGCGCTGCCCCATTTATTCTGGGAAAGGTAGGAGATGGAGGCGGTCGCTCCGCCGGGCCCGTGGGAATTGTTCATCCCTGACGGAGGGGAGCTCTCTTCCCAATGCTAATTCACACTCGACTTTGGGACATCATGGTGCCTGTCAAACCCCATGTCCTAACTTAATGGCACAGTTTGCACCTTTTTGCATTGCTTCATGTTACGGCCGCATCCAGTACAGACTTGCCTCATGAGCATCAAGGGCAGCTCTGGTGTGTCCCACTGCACCGAGGGAAGGTGCTGGCTCCACTACACACTTCATATATTTTACAACTTTATTTAAACTGCCCTTTAACGACTTGTACTGCTTCCTGAGCTGCCTGTAGTGGGGATTAACCTCCCCCATGGGGGTTGTCTGGCTCATTACCAGTATACCCGCTATCCGCATTATTCCCATGTCCCGATGCCACGTTTCATCTTGGCTCCCGTGTAAGGTTAAACGCCCCCAACCTTCTTTAAAAAAGCACTTCCTGAAATCAGAGCTTTGCCACCCACTGCCATATGTCCACTGCTCCCTCTCCTACAAGGTACCATTTAATGACATTAAGATATCTGCAGCCGAGTGCCTGACATTTGTGACTCTGGGGAAGGGGAGCAGCCGTTTTACCTCCTAGAAGGTGCTTTAGAAATGGATTTCAGCAAAGGAAAAGAGAGGAGTGTCTTCTTTTCTGGTTTGGAAGCTGATGAAGTGATCTCAAGCCCTACTCAGCCCCGTGTCGTGCCAGAGGTATTAGCAAGGAGCCACGGACTCGCTGCTCACGTGGGATTTTTTCCAGAAGATGAGCACTGTCATTTTTCTGTGCCTTTGCATCACTTCTCTTTTTCATCCACAAACAACTGCAGGATGGCCAGACCTAAATTCTTTGCGCTGTACCTAAAATTGCTGGCTGTGGTGTCAAGGAAGGCTGGTGAGCAGGGGCTGGGAGTCAGCCCGAGACCACGGTCATCTCCCTGGTGCCGTGGCCCTGCAGGCACGTGGGGTTCAGCTCCCCATGGCCAGTTACATCCTTGCTTTGACTGAGCTTGCACCAAGCTCACCTGGCAGGAGAGCGGTGTGAATTGCTATTGGGAGGAGAAATCCTCCGTTTTCCTCCTAAATTAAACCTGCTTCTTCAATTTGGGTGGGGAAAGGGGAAGCCCTGGCCACAGTCCCGGGTCACACTGAATCTTCACCTGCCTCGCCAGCACATTAGCTGGCTCAGGCCACATCCCTGCCCTCCCACCTCGCTGTGCCCCTACCCCATTCCCATCCCTGCTCCTGCTGTGACTTGGCTCTCATGCACTGCATGGACAGGCACGCTGAAAAAGAAAGTGAGAGCCAAGCAGCTTCTGGACGACTGGAGGCATCTGCAGGCCAGCAGATGCTGCTGGCGCCCCGTGTTTCTCGGGACCAGTCGCATGGACCTCAGTAATATTTATTTGCATCCTGGCCTCCATCCCAGTTGGGATCTTTGAATGCTGCTGCTATAAGAATATTTATCACAACAGATGATTATCTTTTCTTGCTGCGCACCCTTAGTTTGCATCCTGTTTGCATTGCTTCTCGAGGACCACGTTTTCCTATTACTCTGCTTTTCACTGTACTCTTGTGCTGTGTTGTGATATAACCAATTATATATAAAAAGAAAAATCTGGGGATGCAGTCTTGGTTTTTCGATTGCAGTTGTCTCTCTTGGGGTTTTGTTCTTCTTCTTTAAGCTGTGTTCAGTGACAGACAGCTTCATTTGTTCGGGTGTCCTTTGCCCTCCAAGGTTTAATGTATTTATTTAGAAGATGAAACTTACTGTCAGTATTTGTATAGCACCCTCTGGAGTCTGACTTCCCGAAAATGTAGAACTACATGATTTATTTCACCAGCAAATAAACTCTATTAATTAAAAGATTTTTAGCAAATTGGCTGATACTATTCAGTCTCTGCCATAGCAGTTGTTGAAATCCACCCTATTTATTGGCTTTTGTTTCATATTTATAGTGCCAGAAAAGACTTTTGGGGAGATTTTTTACAGTGCAACAACCACGCTCACATTTCAAGGTTAATTCAGAAAACTCGAAAGCTTACTCCATCTCTCCAGTGCACAAGGTGTTATATTCAGCCTGAGTTCAGAATAAGCTTTTATTTCAAAAATCCCTCTGCACAGTCCTATATAACAAGAGTTGCCACCTTTTGAAGATTATTTTCAGTCCTGGGACCAAAACCAGCCTGGGTCAGGGAGCACTGAGGGCTGCGTTGTCTCTGTCCTACCCAATGGATGGACAGGGCTTGTACTCAGCATCCATGACAACCATCTTTCCAGGTTGGGTGACAGGGGACAGTTTGTAGGGAAGGAGACAGAGATGCTGAGCGGCTGAACTCCAGCATGAAGGCTCCAATGTGTTGCTATTTTTCCCCCCCTCACAGTACGCTGCAGAGTTGCTGGCAGTGGTGCGCCTCCCCTTCATCCATCCCAGCTATCTGCTAAATGTTGTTGACAATGAGGAGTTGATAAAGTCTTCGGAAGCTTGCCGGGATCTAGTGAATGAAGCCAAACGTTATCACATGCTGCCGCATGCCCGACAAGAGATGCAGACGCCGAGGACCCGGCCCAGGCTCTCTGCAGGTAAAGCAAAACTTCCTTCAACGACACCAGCTCCCTGATCCGGCAGTTCCCGGGCATGGCCAGGACATGCCCTGGGATGGGGCACAGACCTCAGCTGCTTCCCTTGGCTCCTTCTCAGAGTCTGGTGATATTTTGAGCTCAATTTTCCATTTCTACTTTGCTCGAGCATTTAGGAGCTTCTCCCAATGGTCACACGTGGGTGTTTAGATGTACAGTCCTGAAACAAGATTTAAAAGGAGCCTAATTTTTAGGAATTATTATCTTTGGCAGAGACCATGACATTCCCCTGTTGTCCTGAAAGTGAGCCCCTTGCCCTCCACGCCTCAGTTTCTCTAGCTGCAAAAATAGATGAAAAATTTGCTGCTTTTTGCCATTCAGCCTCTTGTGGGGAGGATGTGACTAATATTCATAAAACAGCTTCACTTTCACAGCCCTATGTAAATATATTCTTTTCATATGGTGAGTCTTACAGTACAAGTTCAGGGTGTTTGCTGCCTCCAAAACAAATGGATCACACATGATATATTCCCTTTTAAAAACCCAGCAGCTGTGGAGAACTGTGTCTCTTCAAGAAGTTTCTCACCCGAGGAACACATGCATTTTCCTTTTTGGAAAAATACATGAAAAAAACCCCAAGTGCCCAACTTGCCAGCAGAGCCCATATCATGGTAATGTGAGAAATATCCTAAATATTTCTAAATCCTAATATCCTAAATAGCAGACAGTGGTGGAAATACCATGTAGGAAAACTGCATCCAAGAAGGAGTCAGATGAAACAGGTGAATTGTTTTAACATGCTGCCTGTACTTCTGCCTCCCGTAAGTACAGTCACAAAGCCAGGCAAAATTTTCTGTCACTGCCACTAATGCTAATGTGGCACGGAGATGGCATATCAAACCACGGCATTTGCAGCTTCTAGAGACTGCCTCATCAAGGCACCTTTCAGAAGGATGAAGTGTAGAGGACTTTCAATAACAATCTACCCTAAAAAGTCTTTCACTGAAGACGACTAATGGTGTGATGTTTGAAGGGATTTTTGAAAAGTGCTTATTTTATGTATATAAAATTGTAGGTGTAATATGATCCATTTCCAGAAGCTTGTTGATGAGGGAAAAGTGATTCTCTAAGGGTAAGAGAGGGTGATTATAGTTTTTTAGGTCAGAGTCTAATTATATAGAATCATGTTATTTTGCATATCGACGGCATTCACGTAGGCACAAAGGATCTTTAAACACCCTTTGTGGACTCGCTGCAGCATGTCACATGCCCTCTTGAGGTCATTGATTATAATCAAGTTATGTCTTGCACAGGTGATTAGATTTTCTGGTATGGCGCAAAAATAATGATCTCTTGTAACTGAGAAATATTTATTTAAAACTGTACAGCACTTTAACATAATAACTTTTAGGAGAGTAACCTTGCTTTAATGACACAAATATATTTTTTGAAAACGCTAATGAAGAATGACAATAATCCATTACTCTGAAGACACATTTCTCTCCACTGCAGCTCCTAATCTCTCTTGCTAGCAATCTCACTTCTGCACTTCTGGCCCCCCAACCTGTGCACACTTGTTTCTAGGCTGGGCACCATAACACATCCCGGCAACGGGTCCAGCTGCAAACACAGCTCCTGAAATGGCGATTCCTTCCAGCTCATGGCCTGGTAGTCCTGCTTCTGAGCCTACCTCTCATGGCAACAAATTGCACTGGAGCTTACAATTGCCGCAGAAAGATTTTTGACACTTCTGCTAAATGCTAAATCCAAACTATCCCCAGCACTTGACTCTTGGGGTTAGAGCCAGAAAACATCCCAGAGTTAAACTGTGACCCACCACTGTGAGGATGAGTCTGGAGTAACACTTAGATCAGATTTGATTTAGCTCTGGCTGTGAAGTGTGAGTAAAAACTCTGAGATGCTGATTGCAAGAGTTTTGTCCATTTGCTTGAATAGAGAATTTGGCTTGCTGTACACCCTGTGTGTTACGGGCTTGGGGAGGCTGCTCGAGCACAGGTAAATCTCAGTTAAGAACTATATTAGGGCAGGGGCTATCTCCGTCACGTTTCATAGCACCTAGTACACCAAGACCCTGATCCTTGGCTTCAGCACGTTATCTATGTCTGGAAAACCTGCTTCCTCTGGGGAAAGCACACCAAAAAACCAAAAACAAAAAAAAACCCACACCAGAAAATGATATGTTAACAGAGCATATGCAAAGAGAAGATGAGGATGAAGAACCATAACCATAGCTTAAATCTCCTCCAGACATTAGCTTTTAGTGTGAGAACACCTTCTTCAGGTTAAAGTCCAAACTTACTTTCCCTGGATAATGACCAAGCTCCAAAGCTATCACAATCCTTGACAAAATTCCCATTTTCTTCACTGAAACAGGAATTTGCTACATGCAGGTCTCACTGAAAGACTGTTGAAGTCAACAGACATCTTTACATGGAACTGCCTTTTTATTTCTTTCCCCTTCAATTTTTGCCCAGATGGCATGCGCCCTCCCAAGTTCTCCCAAGCAAGTTCATAGTGTTGTTCCTCACCCACCGCTCCCACACACACACAAACTCCCTTTTTTCTCACCCTTCTTGGTTTGATTGCACAGTCTAAAACAGATTTATATACGGTACATTAAAATCACACTGACTGCCAAGCATTTTTTGATAGGTTCCTGCCTGGTTGAAGGATGACACTTCTTTATAATATTATTTTTCTTACTTGAATCCTAGGTGTAGCCGAGGTAATAGTCTTAGTTGGGGGTCGTCAGATGATTGGCATGAATCAACGTGCTTTAACAGCAGTCACTTGCTTAAATCCTCAAAACAACAAGTGGTACCCATTGGCCAGCCTGCCCTTCTATGATCGAGAGTTTTTCAGCGTGGTCAGTGCTGGGGACAACATCTATCTCTCAGGTAAGCAGCAGATTTCATAAAAACATAGAATCACAGAATGGTTTGAGTTGGAAAGGACCTTTAAAGATCATCTAGTCCAACCCCTCTGCCATTCGCAGGGACATCTTTCACTAGATCAGGTTACTCAAAGCCCCATCCAACCTGACCTTGAACACTTCCAATGATGGGTCATCCACAACTTCTCTGGGCAACCTGTTCCAGTGCCTCACCACCCTCTTTCTAATAAATTTCTTCCTTACGTCCAATCTAAATCTACCCTCCTTCAGTTTAAAACTGTTACCTCTGGTCCTTTCACTACAGGCCTTGGTAAAAATTCTCTCCATCTTTCTTATAAGCCCCCTTGAAGTATTGAAAGGCTGCAATAAGGTCTTCCCAGAGCCTTCTCTTCTCCAGGCTGAACAACCCCAACTCTCTCAGCCTGTCCTCATAGGAGAGGTGGTCCAGTCATCTGACTGTTTTCATGCCTCTCCTCTTGACCCGCTCTAACAGGTCCATGTCTTTCTTGTGTTGGGGACACCAGAGGTGAACACAGTACTCTAGGTGGGGTGTCATGAGAGTGGAGTAGAGGGGGAGAATCACCTCCCTCGACCTGCTGGTCATGCTTCTTTTGAGGCAGCCCAGGATACAGTTGGCTTTCTGGACTACGAACACATATTGCCAGGTCATTTCCAATTTTTCGTCCACCAGTATCCCCCAGTCCTTTTCCACAGGGCTGCTCTCAATACATTCATGCCCCAGATTTACTGGGCTGAGAGAAGAGTTTCCTCCTTACAACACAGGCAGCACAGACAAAGAAGGACATGCCGGAGTTTTACCCAGCTGCTCCTGGGGAAAAAAAAAAAGACAAGTGGGAGGGAGGTTAGGAGAGAGGGATTTCCCTGCTTTTATCATTCTCCATTTCTCTGTGGCATTAATGTTCTCTCAAAGCAGTCAACAGCAATATTTTGCAGTTGCAATGTGAAGAAAATAAGGCTGACAACCATCAAGAATGCAAAGAGGTTTTACTGCCATAGAAAAGCAATTTAAAATACTGGCTGTAGTTGAATCTAAATGGTGGGTTATGGAATTTGAGACAGACAGGCTGAACTACTGAATATGTGACCTACACTTACAGTATTTGCTTACAGGAGCATTCACGTTTTGTACTTGTTGTTGATACCTCTCTTTTGACAATAGTCACTAGCCCTGTAATCTTCTTCGTTTCAATGAAACTGAGACCACGCTCCTAAAAAGGCTTTAACTCCCAAAGTAGCTGTCTACGCTGCACCCGTAGCATCACGGTGTCTGGTTTTTTGCAGTCTGGTGGTACCTGTGCTTGGCTGGAGGGGGAAAAGCAATTCCCACCAGCCAATGCAAGGATGCTCTGATGGCAGCTGAGTGGAGGTTTGATGATAAAAGAATAGCCTGGGCAGGGAGGTGCAGATGTGTGTGATCCGAGGATGTAGTTGGGAGCGCAGATGCACCAGGCAGTACCAGTAAGGGGTTATAGCTGTTGGCTTTCCCTTGCCGAGTTCCCTCACTGCATTTTCCGCAGTAAATTGCTGCCTGTGGTGTTCAATTCCATTAATACTGCATAGAGGCCCTAAGGATTGATTGGAAATTATTTCTTGACCTTTTTTTTGCCCATGCTCATTTTGCCGCTGGAGCAAAAGCCTTCTATGGAGGCTTTTGTGAGATGTTGACTTTTAGTTATTCTTAGCTGAGGTACTTTCCAATATGTACAACCATTTTAGGCTGTGCCACACCTGCTAAGAAAAGCTGTTGGATACTAAATTCAAAGCTTATTTCAGCTCTTTCCCTTGAATCTGGATCAGTGACTTAATGGTATTCGGTGTCTACAATAGGAGAGCTGAAAGTCCCACATGGCTGGAAACCTAGCTGAGTGTCAGCTGATATTTTGCTTTGCTCAAACTTACAAGACACAGGAAAAAGGGAAGGGGAACCAACAGAAGTGGGAATGAACCCCTGCAAGCTCCACGTACTGGACCTCACACTGCATAGCATAGGTTTGGAGAGCAAAATACTAAGGAGGAAGCCTGGTTTTCTCATCAAACCACAGAACTGAGTCTAGTTTCTTTTCCTGGCTGGACCACTGACTCCTAGTGTGGTCTCAGATAAATGCTTTCACCTCTTTGTGCTTCAAAATGGGGATAGTAAGATACCCACTAAGTGGCTACCCTGGAAGCTTCAGTCAGAAGTTTAAAAATGACCAATATAAGTATTTCACTGGAGCATCTTGAACTGTTTTACAGGATTGGTACAGCCGGTTCTTTCCTTTATCAGCAAATGAAAATAAATAAGAAATTTATCCTGAAAATTAGACATTAAGCCTACAGTGCAAGCACTGACTTCATTCTGCCCATGTATGTGTTGCTTCAATCCATCGCTGTATTAAGCATTTTAGATTTCAGACTGGCCTGTGTCTCACAAGCCAAGATAGGCTCTGCCTCCTGACACCTTCTTGCAAGTGTTGCAGTAATTTAATAGACTGGAAGTTATTTATGAACACTGAAAAGGGTCTATCCCCTTATGTACATGTCCCTTGTAGTCTGACATCTTGATTTCTTCATGTCATCTTATTGAAAAAAACCAGCCTTTGGGGCACATGAATAAATGACACAGATATGCATCATCAGAACAGATGCTCAGTATTGAGGGTGATTTATTTTAATTAGTCAAATGTCATTTGAAGAGTTTTTACTTTGTAACTGGCTTTGATTGCTGTATGCAAAGCTGCTGCCATTCCAGGATCTCACGTAATTCTCCCCTTTTCTTTCCCTCACCCGCACGTCGGTGCCAGGCGGCATGGAGTCGGGTGTCACGCTCGCTGATGTCTGGTGTTACATGTCCTTGCTCGATAACTGGAACCTCGTGTCCCGCATGACAGTCCCAAGGTGTCGACATAACAGTCTGGTGTACGATGGGAAAATTTATACCATTGGAGGGGTCGGTGTGGCAGGCAACGTTGACCATGTGGAAAGGTAAAAAAAAAAACCCAAAACCATGCTGTTTGCTGGAGCTTTTTCTTCATGCTATGCTAAAGGACCATTTCCCTTTCAAAGGACACATCAAATGGGCTGTATGTGTTAAAATAAGCTTTTATAACAGCTAAGAAAGGAGGAAACTATGTAGGATTAGATTTCTTTTTAAAGCTTCAGTGGAAAGCATTGTTTCAAAACCAAAGATGAAAGCTGCCAGTTTGTTTGTCGGTTTGCTCAAGGGAGAGAAGAGAGGAATTAAGCTTCTTTGGACACTTTACACAGATTATACAGTGAACTAATAAAGTTCCTTTGAATTTAGTACTGATGAAAGTCTTTACAGACCACAATTTATTTTTTTTTCTTAAAACCCAAAAAAAGCAACAGTAAAGTAAGTTTCTCATATGTGGTCTCCTAGTAAAGCACCTCAGCCTTGACCCGGCTGGAAGGAATGGTGGTCTTGGCCTGGGGCTGGGACCTGCCAAGCTCCAAGTAAAAGAGCCGATAAATGGAAACAGTTTTGAATTCCTGGCTGAGAGGGGCTGAATAGAGATGGGAGAGGATGGAAATTTCTCTTTTGAAGAAGATTCCACATATAAAAGTTTTCCTTTTCTCACATGGAACTTAAAAAAAAAAGGAAGGCAGGAACAAAAGCGCAAAATAAACATTTCACAAAGTAGAATTCCAAAACCAACTCATTTAATGTCAACCACACCATTCAGTAAAACCATAAATTTTATATACATATCAATGTTTTCACTAAAAAATAGAAGCTGCTTTGATATGCCATATATAAGAATATTCCATTCCAAAAAGATCAATACAGCCCTAGCCTTACCCAAACACTTAAAAATGCATTGTGACAATAGATTAATGATACATTTTTGTGAAATGTTTTACCTTAGTGAATCTGGCAACCAAAAATATGAGGCTTTTTTCTTTTAGTCAGTTTTAAGTGCTGAATTTGAATACTTCAGCAACATTTTGAAGCACACATTTCCCAGTAAAAGTTGCCTTAACAGGCAAGCCAAAAAGGGATAGGTCATTAAGAAAGATTTACAAAAAAAACCCTGAACATTTTTCAAAAGGTTAGGATTAAAGATGCTTTCAATCTATTATTTCTTGATTTCGGTGCTGCAACATTTCTATTCCATTCATGCAGGGAGTGTTTATCTTTTCATTTAAGTAGATACCGTAAATACTGGATACCAAACCTGTATTAAAAGTTTATTAAAGTTTCAAAGTCAAACACACAGAAAATTAGGAAATGCCAAAAATAAGTTTCCTTCTGCAGATCTACTTTTTGGTACAACCTTTAATTGTGTGATGACTTTCTTTTTTTCCCAAAGGACTTCTGCCTAGTTCAGTGCATGGGACAGATCAGTTGTCTATATGCATGGCCAGGGAGATCCTGTCTGGTGCTGAGTGATCACCATTCACATATGGCCCTAGTTTTGTGTTCCTCTGTCTTCACAAATTTGGCACTATTTTGCCTAGGAGACAAGTATGTGACAAAATAGGCCCTGGAAAGCACGTGTGCTGTGGGACAAGGTCTGCAGGTAGCCTTCCCTCCCAGCCCAGGCATGGGCTGAAGAACTGATGTTGGTGACGATGTTCTCAGCAAAGTCAGGGAAATGCAGACAGTGAAGAATGAATGATAAATCATAGCAGTGAGTGCAACATGAACATTGCTTCCCTCCTTACCCCTGAGCTTAAGGTGGGCCCTGCCCTCAGGACTTGCTTTGAAGGAAATCTCACTGTTCTATGCAGATTTATTTCTGATTTCTGAAGGTATTTGTCCTGGAATTTGAGTCAGTAAATTTTTAACTAGGAGAAGTGGTTTTGTGAACATGGGAGGGAGAGAGCCCAGGAAAGAGATGCAGTGTTTCATTCCATCTGTCGATAAAGATGAACATGGAAATAATGCTATTGCAGATAGGTGTCTTGATAAATGTCATTGATTAATGATCTGTTTTTATTTTTCTCAGGGTCTCATTTCTGTCTCTGCTCTGATTCTCATGGTCTCTCTTTAACAAAGCATCCAAAATGTTGGTCAGTTGAATGAACCTCAATTCAAGCAAAGTCACTCCCTCTCCTTCCTTCTCATCTCAGTCACCCAAGTCCTTGCCACAAATGACATTGCAGCCTGCAAGGTCATGCACAGACCCTCAGTGTACCCTGCAAGGCTCAGTGAGAGCAGCCGTGCTGGTTTGCAGTTGTAACAAGCCCACCAAGAGACTTGCATGTGGGAAAGGAGCAGACTTCCTCCCTATCATTTCAGCACACACTGTCTCAACCACAATAAGAATGTCTTGTCATGGGGATTTGCTAAACCCGTGGTTATAATTAATCTGCTATTGTCTATAAAGTGACTTGTGAGACAAAGCCATGGAAAAAGTGCAACATGGCCTCCTTTGGGTTATGCCAAGAAATGAGAGAGGGTTTGGGATGTTTCCTTTTTTATTCTTTGTATTAAAATGACAGTGGGAAATGACAGAAGCAAAGCATCGCCTGGCTGAAGCTGTGTCTTTTGGAAAGGATGTTTCAGGGTCTGCTGTTAGAAATGCAGGTGTGAAAAAGCTGACCCTTGCAGCTGTGCTGAACAAAGTCGGGCCTTTTCAAACAAAATCATTTCCTGTTTAGACCAGGCAGCTAATTTGTGTGAGTGTTCAGGAATTTAAATCACTGTACCCCCTTCTGCAAGCAATGAGGCTTTCTGAATTTGGGTTGCAACTTTAAAAAAAAAAAAAATTAAAATACAAAGTAAAGTCACTAAGTGCTCCATTGTCTGCTGTCTTATGTGCAGTTAATGCCCACTTCTTGACTCTGCCTTCTCTTTCTTCCCCCCCCCCCCCCCCCCCCCCAAGAGCTACAAGCGATCGACCTTCTCCCACTATATTTCTGTGTGGGCTATGCATTCCTCTTCAAATATTGTGTTGCTTTAGATGGGACACTGAAATACCATGTCTCAGGAGGGGGGAACCTTTCTGTCATTCCAGCAGGTCTTACAAAAGCACTATATTAAAAAAAGGTGACATGATTATATGCTCCCAGTCAGGTGATGCCAAAAATTACATTTACCTCTGAGGTAACATTGTTCCCCACAGCGTTGAATTTCAGGGTCATGCGCTCTTGGGTTTTGGTTAGTTTTTCACCTCAAAGGAGGCATCTGAGATTCCCCCAGGTGGAGGTACGGGGGCTTATCCAGGCCTAACGCACAAAGTGATCCTGAGCTGTGCCACCAGTGTGAAAGGCACCACCTCTGCTCGTGCACACGCAGCTTATCTTTCCCAACCACATTTTGCTTTCTGCTTGCTCAGCTAGCTCAAGCGTGACCATGCCCAGCTTTGGCCAGGTTTTGATGCGTATTCAGTGGCGTGGTGGAGGGCATGTCTCCGGTCCAAAGTGACCTACCCTGACCTCACCAGTTAGCAGCCCCAGAGCATGGAAACTACAGGGCATCTCACCACAGCAAGTCTTTGAAGATGGAGAAAATAACATTTTCTCCCAGTTTCCTTCTTGTTCTCCACCTGTTTTTCCTGGAATTCTTGTAATATTTCATCCTAACTGTTTAAAATCTTACCAAGATGTTTTTACTGCATTTTTTTTTAAAAAAACAAAGGTCAGACCATCTTAGCTATACATGCTGCTGCCTGACTGCACATAATTCATCTGCTGCACCATTAGAAAGCATTAAGGCAAGTAGGGACCACCGAACTCCTAATGATTTATGGCATCAGCTCTTGTGCTCCTCTCTCCGTGCTTTCAGTTGTGTCATTGATGCTGAAGGGTTCAGCCTCAACCAGAAATTCTGGTGCCACTTAAATCAGTGGGTGTATTCCCATCAGCTTCAATAGAGATGAGATTTTTTACCCTTTATCTGCCATTTGTCTGTAAAGAGGCAGTAAAAATTCCGGCTCAATGGATAATATTACAGGACTATCACAAACAGACGAGTAGGAGTCATTCGTTACTCATCTTAAAACAATATGCATGTGCCAGAGGGGCTGAGTTATAAGTCCATTTTTGTGGCTGTACATGGGTATATGTTCATGGAGAGTTATGTTTTTGGAATGAGTGTTTAGGGAAATAACGGCGCGGCTGCAGTTCTCCATCAAGCCCCACTGGCAAGTTTCTGTGTGACAGGGAGCAAGTCATTAGGTGTTAGGCGAGAGGGTATTACACTTTCTGTCTTCTTCTGAGATATGAGTTGAGTTGGGAGGCGGCGAAATGAAGTACATCCGCAAACTAGGTTTTTAGATAATGGATGAGCCCTGTAATATATGCAATTTGAGAGCCGAGAAGACTGCGTATGCTGACAAGACAATATATGTGACTAAAAGTGTGGAAATGTGGGTGCTTTGTGGTTATTATCTGTTTGAAGGACAGAAGAAGATGAATCCCCTTGACCTGACAGCACTTTTACAATAGGGTTGTCTAAAATTGGAAGATTACTTTGGTTGGCAGTGTGTACTTGGCAGACAGTCTAAAAAATTCAGTGTAAAGAATAAGCTTTATAAGCTGCTTCAAAACCTATTGTTTTATTGAGTCATAGTCACGTAGGAATTGGGGCTTCTCCCCCCAAAAAGGTGGCGGGATCAATAGCCCAACCAAAGTGCATCTACACCAGTGCATGCAGTGTGGGCAACAAACAGGAGGAGCTGGAAGCTATTATGCAGCGGGAAAACTATGATATAGTTGCCATCATGGAAACCTGGTGCGATGACTTGCACAACTGGAGTGCTGCAATGGACGGCTATAAACTCTTCAGAAGGGATAGGCAAGGAAGGAGAGGTGGTGGGGTAGCCCTGAATGTTAGGGAGAGTTTTGATTGTCTAGAGCTTAATGATGGTGATGATAGGGTTGAGTGTTTATGGGTAAGAACCAGGGGGAAGGCCAACAAGGCAGATAGCATGGTGAGAGTCTGTTACAGACCACCCAGCCAGGATGAAGAGGCAGACGAAATACTCTATAAGCAGCTGGGAGGAGTCTCACAATCGCTA